ATGGAAGCTTGCCAGGGGCCTCCGTGATGAAGGTCACCTGCCTGCCCATCTCCGATGGCTGGGACCTGGCTGTGCCCACAGGAGGGTGACGGTGGGCGCCTTGTACTGGCAGCTCCCAGGACGGAGGCCTGAGCCCCTGGCTCCACAAGTGCTTGATGAGCGTGGTGTCCAACAGGCAGGAAGAAAGCAAACAGTGCCTCGCTGAGCGCTCAGGCCATGCACTCTGGTGGGGTACCTGGCTGGGTAGAGGAGGAACTGGTAGGACTTGGAAGAGCAGGAGAAGTGATGGTGACTCACCACCCAAGCGTCTTGATTTGAGGAGTTTCCTGCAGGCGGGAAGAGCTGCTGTGTTACTCACGGGCCACTTTCTCCTGTGGCTACTGGGCTACTCGCAGGCCCACAAAGGAAGTGCCTGAGCCTTCCTAGCTCGCCCTCTTGCCTCCTCCCCCTCTCTCGCCTCCGCACACAGAGGGGTCTAGCGTGTTGCTCACCCTGTATGTGCAGGAGAAGCACCAGGGGATCGTGTTAAAATCAGATGCTGACTCAGTAGCCTGGCCCAGAGCCGAACCCCACACGGATAGCAGTGACCTAGCCGGTTCAGACCCCGGCCACACCGAGGGGCAGAAAGTGGCCTCGTGAAGGGTGAGAAGGGTGCTGTCTGTCTTTCTCTGGTGACAGCAAATCTCCAGTCCCATTCCTGGAAATGAGCCCAGTGATTGGGTGCTGCTGTCAATGCCACTGATTTCCCTCTCTATCCATCACAGTCAGGCAAGCGCTCACGCTCTGGCCCCCGTTCTTCCTGCCTCCTGTGCCTGGACCCGGAGCAGCCCCCCCACCCCCAAGAGCATCCAGGGGACACAGAAGTGTAAACAGACTTCTCCCCTCACCTGTGAATTGCAGCTCCCGCTGCTTTAGCAGCAGCGCTGGGGCAAGGCAGCCTTCTCAGCGGCCTGGAGGCGGGCTCTGCAGCTGGGCCCCCTCCTCCTCCCTGGGCGGCGTGGGCTTGGCAGCAGCAGCCACTCCAGATGAAAGGGCCATTTGCTTCTAAATGGCATAAATTGCGCTTTCTTTATTGCTCTCATAACAGGGGCTGCCCTAAAATGGGGGTGGAGGCCTCCCAGTTTGCAGTGTCTCCTGATTTCCCAGCCTTGCTCAGTTCTCACAGCTCTTGAGAGCTCCCTCAATTCCAGCCTGCCTGAGTGGGCACCAGAGCAGAGGATGGGGTGGGGGTGGAGGGTGCTAATTAGCCCAGAAAAGCAGCCTTGGCAAGAAGCCGCAGGGAGGGGAGTGAGGGGGGTTGGGGGGGAAGCCTGGTCAGGTGGAGCACGCCCGTGCTGTGCCGGCTTAGGGCTTGGTGAGGATGGTGGATGGTGACTCAGGGATCACAAGGGAACCTGCGTAAGGTGCAGTTTAGGCAGCAACCAATATCTGCCTTGAGTCACCAATGGGTGTTTACTGTGTTATTAGAAGGAAGGCAGGAGCCATGATGATCTCTGAATAGGGAGAGACTGGTTGACACAGACATGAAAGCTGTCAGGTCAGAATAAGGCACGTCTGTCAGCTTCGCCTCCGGGACTTCGTGTTCTTTGATGAACACGCAGAGGACGGAGCAGATGCAGGTGGCTGTTCAGAGCAGCCTAGCATGGATCAGAGCGCGCTCCTGGGTGGGGAGGGGAGTGGGCAGATTGCTTCAGGCTGGGGTAGTGGCATTCTCTCCCTCTTGCCGGCCACCTTAGCTCACCAACAGGTACTTGAAACTGTTCGCTCTGGAATTGACTTTTAGGCGGCAGGGCTGGGCTGACAGGTCCAAGAAACGGGATAGACATACTAGTACCTTTCCTGCCTGGGCCCTCCAGGCCGCCCTGCAGGCACGCTCAGGGGCATAGGTTTGGACTAGGTCCTGGGGGGCGGGGGGAAAGGGCCTTTAAGTAGGTGGGGGTGTTAACTTGTGTAAAGAGCTTAGATCAGCACCCAGCCTTATGGAAATAATAGTTACAATTATCAGAAGCTCTGATTCACTCTGGCGGTGCCCTCAAACCCACCTGGAGTTGACTGGCACCAACCTGTCAGAATAGCCATCTTTCCCCAGCTTCTGTGAATCAGTCTCCTCTGCTCTGTCATCATCAATGTTTGGGGTTTTTTTTTACTGATCTAAGAGTAAACATTTTCCACTGATTTATGTCTTTAAAGAAAACATGAAATTAGAGTGGACTTGGAGCTGCTCTCTGAATAGTGCAGGAAGTCAGCTATAGCTAACGCTCTGGGACTTACACATAATCCTTGGCGTTTGTCAAGCTATGCTGTGTCGTAGGCGGTGATGGGCACATGCACCGGAGCCACGCCGCCTGGGTTTTACTCCTGGCTCCTCGTGACCTTGGGCGACTGACGACCTTCTTGACTCAGTTTCCTTATCTGTAGAATGGGGAATAATAAGAGTCCCCATCTCAGAGGGTCGTGGGGAGGATTCAATGTGCTCATGTATGTAGAGCACTTAGCACAGTGATGCTGGGTGTCATTGGTAACATGTCTACCAGTAAGAAGAAGATGGGGAACCACTCTGCTAGGTGGTCTATTGGTTAGTCCATCAGTAAATTGGTCAGTGAACTCAAAATCCCCAGTGCAACCGCACACAGAGAAATTTGGGGGAGGCTCTCAACTGTTCCAGTGTCCACTCTACAGGGGTCTGAAGCAGCAGCGTGTAAAGCTTTGGAGATGTAAAAATGTGGGTAGAAAGAAAATCGGTGAGAGCCTTTGTGTAAGGGTGTTCATTTGTCACATTTCCTGGCTGCACAGCACCTACTGAAAACTCTTCCTGTCTTTGGAGAAAGTCCTGCCTTGTGAACCCAAGGTAGAACTCTGAAAACATTTTCCCAGGATCTCTTGCAGCTAAAGCACAGGCACGTGAGCTGGGCTCCACCAAGCAGACACCATTCACTCCCACACAGGCCCTCTCTCTGAAAGTGGTCAATGTAAGAAGCTAGTGCTGACATTCAAAATCTATTTTCCAGTGAAGGTGGAGAGGAAATTTGGGAAAGTGGCAGTGATGAAAGGTCAAGTTCTTGGTGCTACTGAAGGTAGTGGCAGTTGCAGTAAAGTAAGTTCCTGATTTAAGTAGCGACATTGCAAATTGTAGCATCCCAGTGCCTGGTGACCATGGTGACAGAGCAGTTCTGCAGGATGGCTCCGAGTGCTGTTCTTCAACATACCACCCAACCCTGTTTCTCCTGATCATTCTGTGAGCTACCCAATACCCTTTGCAAAAGGCCCTTTTCTACCTAGTCCCCCCCCCCAAAAAAAAAATGTAGTAAAAGAAGTGCAGGTTGGTACCCTGCAAAATTCATCAGTAGGGAGGGCATATCCCTGGAAAGAGAATGAAAATGTGGTAAAATAAACATAACATAAAATTTACCGTTTTAAGTGTCCACTTAGTAGCATTAGAGTATATTCACAGCATTGTGCAACCACCACCAATATCCATCTCCAGAACTTGGGGAATGAAAATTGTTAACATGGACTCATGTCTTTGGAGAGTCTAGGTTTCAAGGTCACTTTCAATTCAAGTCAACAAGCACTCACCCTACGTTCTACAGCACGAGCTCCACGTTCTGTTGCTGATTGCTGCGTTGCCAGCATCTAGTAGGTGGCTGAGAAATATTTGTTAGCTGTGGAGTGGTCACACGGGATATTCTCTAGTCCCGCTCTTGGGCAGTCGGAGTGGGGTGTTGGCAGGTGTATTCACTGCCTGTGGATGGGTCTTCCTTCCTTGAGAAGTGTTGACTGAAGGTGTAAAGCAGCGGTTTCCAGCCTGGGCACTCCTGTTCCCTGGCTGGGGTGGGGGTGGGGGTGGGGGGAGGGAGGGACTGGAAAGGCTAATGCAGATTTTACTTTTACCTAGGATGAAGCTAACAAGGTCTACAGCCCCCCGCCCCCCGCCCTCCCGCCCCCATGGCTGGAAATATGACAACATTTATGACAGTGCATCAGTTAGCTTCCACTTCTTAGGAACTCAGACAGGTTTTCAGTGATTTTTTGCGAGAAATATGTGTAATAATCCAATATTTGGTGGTGAATGAGTTGGGGGACCATTCAGTCATTTATTCAGGAGTATGTATTGAGCCGCTGCTTTGTGGCAATTCTCTTCTGGGTATTGAAGACTCTGACGCAAACAAGACAGACACATGCCTCATATCTAGAACTTACACACGGATGGGGAGAGACAGAAATTAAGCAAATGTCGGATTGATCTGGTGGGGAAAATGCTAGAAAGAAAAACAGGGCTGGGGAAGGCTGGAGAGAGTGACCGGAGATGTATGTTAATCTTTTGTGCAGTCATCACAGAGGCTCGCTGCGAAGGTGACATTTGAGTGGGGACCCGAGGAACAGGAGGGAGGGTGTCACATAGACATTTACGGTGTCCCCGACAGAGAACAGAGGTGCAGAGCTTGGAGGTGGAGCGGGCCAGGCGGGTCCCAGGACCCACAGGGAGGTCGGCGAGCAGAGTGGGATGAGGGGAGAGTTGTAGGCACGAAGGTCAAAGAAGCAGTGGAGAAGACGTGGGCTCTGGAATGTCCTGAATGAGTATTGCAAGGCACACAGACACACCTGCTCCGTCTCAAATGAGATGTTTCCTCCAAGTGCCCCCCATCCTGTAGGGCATCGGTTCTCAACCTGTGGGTCGCGACCCCTTTGGGGGTCGAACGACCCTTTCACAGGGGTCGCCTCAGACCATCGGAAAACACATATATAATTACATATTGTTTTTGTGATTAATCACTACGCTTTAATTATGTTCAATTTGTAACAATGAAATTGGGGGTCACCACAACATGAGGAACTGTATTAAAGGGTCGCGGCATTAGGAAGGTTGAGAACCACTGCTGCAGGGCAAGGGAACCACCAAAGGGACCCCCCCGCTTTTTCCTCCCAGGGGTTGTGGAAGTTCCCTCTCTTGAGTCCCAGCTGTCTGGGTGAATCACCCATTTTTGCTCTCTGCTTCCCAGGCCTGTGCTGGCTTTTCTGCAGCGAGATGGAGACCATTCGTCAGCCTCTGTGAGCCCGCAGCCTCCCCTCAGTGCCTGGCGTGGGCAGCTATGCGGTCAGCGAGTGGGATGCAAGCTTATCCATAAAGTAAGGACGTGAGCGTGAGAGGAAAAGGACAGATCTGAATGGAAGGACAACGGGGGAGAGAGAACTCCGGTCAACAAGCCTGGGAGGTGTGGAGTGATGGAGACGGCAGCACAGTACCTCCCACCCCCACCCCGATGTTTGCTCGGCCTCTTGAAGATGATTGCTTGTATTTCTGCCTCAGAGCTTCCCATGAACTTCCCTGATACATGAAGTGAAAAGAAAGACTGCGGGAGCTGATCAGAGAGCGTAATAAACACAGCGGGTGCCCGTGTTCCTGCCCCGGAGGCTCACGCCTGTGGAATGTGTCAGATTTGAAACTGGCACGTGGAGCCAGCGCCAGGCGTGCCCCCCCCCCCCCAGCAGAACATCTGATTAAACACAAGGGGAACTGTACTGCTTTCGTTCAGCCTGTTCTCTGCTGACACAAACCATTCTCTGATATCAAATGGAAACGAGCGGAATTAGCATGGGAAGGGCCATTCTTGCTGTCTGGTTTTTATTCTCAGTATCCCCACATTTCCTGGTCCTTTGTAAATTCATTTTCTTTTAATACCCAAATGTAATAGCCTGAATCCTCGCTCTGCGTGACTGAGAAAACCAGTCCCCTCCGGATATTTCTAAAGAGGTTGCCAAGCACTTACACGCCCCAAGTGTTGCTTCTCACGTACCCCCAGCCTCCCACCCCGTGGCACCTTCCCCGGCTCTGCCTATAGCTGTCTCCTCACTCTTTCTCATTCTACTCCTCCTTCTGCTCTGCTCCAACCCCAGTGTGAACACTGGCCCTTCCTCTGTTCTCCCCACTTAACTCCCTAACTGAGCTGGTGTGTGTGGAGGCAGGGGTGAGAGTCTAAATATTTAACAACTGCAGTGGCCCAGGCGCTGGGGTATTTCCCAGCATCTAAAAGGGTTCAGGAGTCTGGAGAAGGGCTGCGAGTAAATGAATAAAGAGATGAACATGAAATAGAAATTTGAAAGGCATTTTTGGGAGCCAGAGGAGACCTAGCTTCAGTAACCAAGTTCCCTGAATCTCTGAATCCCTATCTTTTTATTAACACAAATTGCCCTAAAGCAGTGGTTCTCAACCTGTGGGTCGCGACCCCTTTGGGGGTCGAACGGCCCTTTCACAGGGGTCGCCTAAGACCATCGGAAAACACATATATAATTACATATTGTTTTTGTGATTAATCACTATGCTTTAATTATGTTCAATTTGTAACAATGAAAATACATCCTGCATATCAGATATTTACATGACGATTCATAACAGTAGCAAAATTACAGTTACGAAGTAGCAACGAAAATAATTTTATGGTTGGGGGTCACCACAACATGAGGAACTATATTAAAGGGTCGCGGCATTAGGAAGGTTGAGAACCACTGCCCTAAAGCAAAGCAGATATATATATCAAAGGTAAGGTTTGGTATACAGTAGGCATTGTCAGGTTGGGGGGAACTGCCTTTGGCTGTCAGGCAGCAGGCAATAATATATGCAAATCTTTAGGTTTGGGGAAATGCTTTCAGCTATTCCAGCAGGCAATAATATGTATCTTCAGCCCTGCTGAAGCCTCAAGGTCCACCAACCTTTTGAGGAACTTCTTGCATTTATGACCTGCTGGAATTAGCCCCCAGCACCCAGGCAATGGCCAATCAGTCCTAAAGGTGTCTGGATCTGGGAGGTTGGGGGTCGTGGGGCTGGGGCCAGGCCATTGAGGTAGGGATGGGGGAAGAGGCTCTTTACCAGAAATAAATATTCTAACACCAATGTGCTCTCCCAATAGTCTCGTGCAACAGATTTGCTGAAGGTTATTGGGGCAACTTTAAAACGGTCTCAAGCATCACTGTGGGCCTGTCAGGGATGCCCGTTAGAAGCCCCTCCCTGGTGGCCTCTCTCCGTGGGCACCAGCCGGCAGCCCCTGTTCTGGGTTCTCTTCCCTCCGAATGGAGTTCCTTCTCAAATGTGCTTTCACTCTCAAGTCCAGAACTCTTCCTGAACCGAGCTCAGACATTCAGAGGGGACACTGGCAATCCCTTCACAAAAATGACCAATCACGCTGTCCAAGGATGCTACCTTCATCATTTTAGTTCGTTTATGAAGAGCGGCTCCCGCCAATGGCCCCTCATTTTTGCAAAGTGCCATTGAATTCCTCCGCAGCAGACAGCTTGATCCCCAGGGTGAATTCTGCCCCCTCTCCCAGAGCCAGGGGGACAATTTGCAACCATCTTTTCAAATAGCATTCGGGGTTTCCTGCCTTAGATATGGAAAGCTCTTAGCCAGTCCTTGGTAGAAAATACAGGCTGAGTAAGTGATATTTTTGTCCACGACTCTCTAGTCGCACCTCTTGGTAGTTATTGAAGAAATAGATTCATTTCTTCTTTCATCTGTGCAACCAACACACATTGAGAGCCAACTATGTGCTAGGCACTATGCTTGTTTGGGGACAGAGGCTAAAACAAACAATAAAAGACAAAGATCCCTACTCTTGTGGAATTTACAATTTAGCGGAGGAGGCAATCACAAAATAAATAAAACACACAGTATGAGAAATAGCAATAAATGCTAAGAAGCTGAAAAACGAAAGGTGAACAGGTAGTGGCGAGGGAACTTTAGGTAGAGGTCTTGATTTTAGAGAGAGAGGTTTCGTAGGATTTTAGATAGAGATTGAGAGAGGAGGTATCGGAGAAGATGACGCTTCAGTGAAGACCTGAAAGGGGGGGATGGGTGAGCTATGCTGATATCTGGGGTGCGATGGGGAAGAGAAACCCATGGCCACATGGCAAGTAAAACCAATGACGTGAAGAAACTCCAGTTTGTAATAATGACTGAAATAAGGACAAGTGCTCTTGGTGGGTCCTTGGTTTTTTTCATTCATTAAATGAGAAAGATTTATTATTTTAAAGGAAGGAACTACTTTTCCTCACTCTCAGTGCTTTTGGCAATTGTCACACATTTCCTTCCATCTCACTAAGCTAGAGGAGGGTAAATGCCTTCAGCACAGAGGTCAGACTATTCCACCAATAGCTTGTTTATTTGTTCTTTCGGTGCCTGCTTTTTCCCCCGTGGGTCCATCACAGACAGCAAATCAATTGCGGGCTGCTTTTATGAACCTGAACCAGGTACAGCTGTCCTGAATAAGTTCACATTGAAATCATACAAGAATGAAAGTTTGCTCTCACATTTCAGAGCATGTCTGCCTTGGGTGGTTTTCTTAGCTCACGCTCTGTTGCCTGTAACAAGTGTTTAGATTTAAGCTGATAAGAGCTATGAGAAGTGATCAATACTTTAGAGGACTTTAAAGTTGAAAATAGTTCTGCCCTCCAGCAACTCATGTTCCTGCCACATCTTGTGTCTTTTGCATTTGGAGGTGGCATTCTTTTTGTTGCTGTTGTTAATCCTCACCTGACGATATTTTTTCCATTGATTTTTAGAGAGTGGAAGGGAGGGGGAGAGACAGAGAGAGAAACATTGATGTGAGAGAGACACAGTGATTGGTGGCCTCCTGACCAGGGCCGGGGAAGGAGCCTGCAACCAAGGTACATGCCCTTGACCTGAATCGAACCCGAGACCCTTTCGTCCAAGGGCCGGTTCTCTAACCATTGAGCAAAACCAGCTATGGCTGGAGATGACTTTTTTTTAAAAAAACAGAAACCACTGCGTCCTCTCCCTCTTATTCTCCCAAAGGAAGAGAAGAAGGATCATCAATGGCTCATGGTAGTTGCCAAAGGAACACCAAAAGCCAGCTTCACACTCAGGAGAGAATACTGCGCCTCCTCTTCATGATTTCGGGGGCTCTACACATTCAGAGAAACTTCTCTAGTAACAAACCATAGAAATGACCCCTGAAAGTATAGGCTTTGGGGATGACACTCTTAATAATAAGGCCCCGTGGATTTCATTCTCAGGGCAGTAGAGAGCTAGGAGGAATTTAAACGTAGGAGAGGGGTGAGGTAATTTGGCCACTCTGGCTTCCCTTCCACTCCCCTGCAAGGTGTCCACTGCTCCCTGTCCCTGCCTCACCCCCACCAGATTCTGAGCCCCTGTCCTCAGATCCCTCGATTTCTAAGGTAACTTGCAATTATACGAGATAAACGTATGTAATGGAAGACTGTAATGGTAGTCGAGGCCTTCAGACAAGGGCTGATGATCTGACTACAGAATTGTAGGCATTGGCCGGGGACAGGAGAGAACTGATGTAACATTCTTTAATCATGGGCTGTTCTTCCAACTCTGATCGCACACCTCACAAAGGATCAGACTGGTCTCAGAGGAATCCAAGCACACACCTGGTGCCCACTTTCCTGAGGGGGGACCCACAGCACCATCCCCAGGTGGAGGGCAGGATTTGAATCCTCGAGTCTCAACAACAGCAGGGATCCTGGAGTTCCCCTGAGCCATGGCCTGCATCACCCAGGTTCCTCCGAGGGCAGGCTCAAAGTGCTTCCTCTGTTATTATTAGATTTGAATAATTGGCATCTCTCCGTGTTTTCCACGCCTTGATCACCTTCTCAGAGGAGCAGGTGAATGGAGAAAGAGCCAGCAGGGTTCAGGTAACCCACAAAGTAGACACCTGGTTTTGGTGTCATCAGAGGGGTCTGGATTCCATTGTCACAAGAAATAAACCTAAACCTTGAATGGCTGAGCTGAAATTCATGTCATTATCTCCCCCTTCATCTTATCATGGGTGGGTTTTTCCCTATATAGCTTCAAACCTCCTCTATATCTTTGAAATCTCATCACGTGGCTGCTGCAACGTATCTTTTGAATACAGAAACTTCAATGCAAAATAAAGCAATCAGAAGGAGCTGCCTGCAGAAGAAGTCAGGTAATATCTGGTGCATCTCAGATTGCCCAGGGGTACCTGTCTTTCTCTCCCACCCACACCCTCCAGTCCCCTTCAAAACATCAGCCTCGACCTGGCACCTGGCACCGTGGGACTCCGTAAGTCACCTGTGTCAGCCAGCCGTTCGGCCCCGGCTGACCCCATTTCCTGCCTGAGCCTGCCGAGCCTACAACAGCGATGTTCCCGCCTGCGCTGTAACAAGTTAAATGTCACCCTCCGATGTTTACCTGCTTTGAAGTTTCCCGGCTGCGGTCTATGGGGAAACTTTTCTGTCTCCATCGCACTCCTCCTCACGCCCCGTTCTGGGTGCGCACAGGCCCTTCCTGCTGTGATTGCGCATTTCTGCCCTCACAGCCTTTCAGTGGTGGGTCTCTTATTGTCTTTACTAACAAAGACGGCAACAGTGCTAACCCAGGACTTACTATGAGTCAGACACCCTTCTAAGCACATTCGGGTAGATGAGCTCACATCACCCTCACACCGAGCATTTGAGGGGATTGAACCCTGTTTTACAAACAAGGCAACCAAGGCACGGAGAGGTGAAGGAGCCTGCCCATGGCCGCCCAGCTACTGAGAGGCGAAATCTGAATGACAGGGAGTTCACTCCTCCGCCTGTCATTTTCCCCTTCGGCACCTGTGTCCTCTGCAACTGCGTTTAACCAACACTTACTCCTCAGGGATGGAGATATTGAAAGCCATGCCCCCGGTCTAGTTGAGGGGACACATGGGCACATGATAACCTGGAGTGCTGCCCGGGGCAGCGGAGGCTGCGCACGGGGCTGTGGGACGCTGAAGGTGGACACGGAGGTGTGTGTGATCACGCTGTAAACAGGAAGTTTCTCTCACTGCCGGATATTTGTGTGTTCTTGTTTTTTTAAATATATTTTATTGATTTCAGAGAGGAAGGGAGAGGGAGAGATAGAAACATCAATGATGAGAATCATTGATTGGTTGCCTCCTGCATGCCTTCCCCCACTGGGGACCAAGCTCACAACCCGGGCAAGTGCCCTGACCTCGAATCGAGCCGAG